ATGATACAAAAGACATACTCACACTATCTATAACTCTTTGGGTGCCATCATTTTCCAACTCAAATGTTTTGGTGCAATATTTTGTATTTTTCTACATTTTTTTAGTAGAATATTTTGAATTTTTCTACATTTTTTTCGATAATTTTGAACATAATTTCCTGGGATCTGGGATTGATTTTGTGAAAGGGTTAAATATTGTCATGTGTGTTAAAAACAGTACATGCAATTCAGTATATCATGTGACCATTTTGATCATATTATGGTGATTTTAATTATGATAATGTTACTGCGGTATTTCTGATTGCATTTTAGATTGCTTTAAGTATGCTGTATATCTTGATGTTTCATTCGTACACAAAATTTCAGTGTTGTGTGACAAAACATTTTCTTTCTTTTTTTCAATGTATATAAGGAAGCAGTATCACCAAAGAGTTTGAGAGAATGATATCATGTCAAAGTATGAAATCAATTGGCGGACAAAGTAGTCGATCCGTATCAAGACAATCTGATGTACGAATAGTATCAGCTGCATCACAGCGATCACAAGTGAGTATTGCGGCATCACAGCGATCACAAGTGAGTATTGTGGCATCACAGGCATCATTAGACTCATTAGACGTGCCAAAGATTGATATTACAGAACAAGTGTCTCTTTGTCCTGATGATCTCATACTGAAGAGAAAAAAAGAAAAAGTTTTCAACAGACATGTGAGTATAAATACACTACTGGTGTTCATGGTGTGTGCCTTGTTTTTGTGGATATGACTAAAGTCATTATTTTAGTTGTTACCAGGAATCCACTTAAGTAGATTTATAGATTTAAACCTTACTATTCTACAGTGCTTAGCTATGTTAGGACAGACAAAATTCATTTTATTTTCCAAAACGCATGAACAAACCTAATTTGGGGACTAATTATCTATTGATTACCATAACAAGTGTAAGCTGTCATGGGTGGGACAACATAGTAAAATCATGTAATTTTTTCACTTCGTAATGTGAGAGTTAATTGGCATAGTACATGCTTTGGAACTTTCACAACAACAAAGGTAGCATAGGGTTTGTTGCTCCAGTTTTAAGGATGAATAGGTCTTCAGTTCACTGTGGGATGGATTTATAGCAATAAGGAAATTGACCTGTACTGTGGGTGATACTCGTATGACACTCAACCTAGCTGAGATTCTTTGCCTTACAAAGTCATAAATTCTATTAACCTGTGTTTGGTGAAGCTTGATTGATGGGAAGATAGTTCATTTATTTTAGTGGGTTACTTTTATAGAAACATATACAGCCCTGTAATGTAATAAGGAATATGCATGTTTTTTCTGGCATACCGTAATACGGTTTGCACTTAACTCATGAAAAAATTCAATTTGCTCATGAAAAAAATAATACTTGTTAAAGGATGTCTATGCCATGTTTATAAATTGCAGGCTAAACTATCTAGTGCTGGAAAGCAGAGGGTGTTATATGGTGATACCAAGAATGTGAAAACTGGTAACAAAGCAGTAGACAGTCATTCCATGTGCAGTACTTTAGGAGGGGAGATTGGTGATACAGTGGATCAGCATAGACAAGAAAGACTTGAGGAGTATCATCGGATAGTTAAAATGTGCCAAGATAGAAATGTAGCATTGTCAGCTCAATTACTGGAACGAGGTTTGTTGAATTTATATTTAGATTACCTTACATGATCAGTGAATGTAATGTAAAGTTCAATGTTGCTGCAATTAAGTACTTTCACAAATGTAGTAAAAAAAAAGGCTTTTAAGGGCGTGTTCAAATATTGTGCAAACGTAATGCATTTGACATGTGTTGTATATGTAGCATGGACCTCATAATTTGATATTTTCAATAATCATTTCCTTCTTGACAGCTTTACTTATGCCAGGAGACAAACCAGTATCGCGGTTAAAAAAGAAAATTGCACAGCCTGGATGTCATTTAGTATCGAGGCATTTTGCTGATTCCCCGACAAGAAGTAAGACACCAATAGAGGTGAAACACAGTGATACAATACACCGTGATAAAACTGGACAGCTACTGATGGAAGCCAAACACGCTTATCCACAGAAAAGATATGTAGAACCTCAAACTACAATGGTCCACTTATCAACTGGGAAGGCCTTTATTTCAACAAAAGTCAAGTGCTGGTTAACATTTGAAGAATATGAAAATCTTACAAGGTAATTGTTTTATTAGTTCTCACAGCTCATAGAATACTATTCGGTGAAATTCACTTGGTTTAAATTTTAATGAATTTTGCTGTCTAGCATAACTTAAACCTAATTTTCACTGCTAAGAATTTTTGCAAGTTGATTCGTCAAGACGAAATTTAGCGTATGACCCAATGAAATTTTCACTGCAACAAAAATCATGAAATTAAAGTAGTTTTTACAGTATTTGCAGGTTGGTGTTAGCAATAAACCAAATACACTCCATACTTAATTAGACATTTGTCATTAGTGTCATTCAGCATATCAGTGTCAGTCAGCAATAGATGAATTAAAATTGAAAAAAAAGTTTCTGATCAAATGGTTTTCTAAAATGCAAACACATGTTCTGACAAAAAACCTAAAAAAATCCTGTAATGCTTATAATTTTAACTGATATGTACGATGACCTGTAATTGACCTGCATTTATCTCAGGATTGTTTTATAAATTGTCCAAGTGACTTCAGTGAGATCTTAAATACCTGTGTACCCTTCATTTCATCTACCCTTGATTCATCATTCACAGATATAATCATTAGTTAAACTGAACTTTCCAAAAAAAACACCATTTAAAAATTTGTGACATGATTAACAATTTGTAACCTTGTATTTTGACAGAGATCTACAGAAGAGGTACGTAGTGTTCAATGACACTGTTGATGCTAATGCATTCTGGCCTGGTCAGTTATTAGATAAACTACGCCTTTGTATGGATGAACAAGACAGTGCCTCGGGACCAGCAACCGTGTATCAGTCAACAAAACAAGCGAAACCCACCAACTCAGGGTATAATAATAATTTACAAACCTGGCCAACTGATTCTGGGTATATACAGTTTGGAGACATCACACAAAACAAGATTTATACTCTAGATAGTAAATGAACAGTGTTAAATAAATATATATCTCAACATATTGATTGCACTCCCCACTTATAAATACTAATAAAAATTATACCAAAATTGGACTGTATATTATTTTTATACTATAGCATTTGCAATGTACATAATCTAGCTAGATAAATTATTATATACTTAAGATTCTCTTTTTAATTCAAAATTGTTGTGACTTTCCGCCTGAATTTTTCTGCA